TCAAGGAATCCATCTTAATTGAACAAAACAACCCTACTCTAAACCAATACCCCGGAGTGCCTAGATACCTCTTCTAAGTTTTGCAACAGTTCCGGTCATGTGACTACTTTGTTCAATACTGTATATATATATATCCGTGTTAGTGTAAATTACTTGTACCTGATGATGACAAAACCTTGTCGAAACGTTGTACATTTGCTGTTATGTTAAACTTATATTAAAGTTTTTCTTCATTACCCATTTAAGCTGTCTCCAACCATTATTAGTCTCAAAGTGGATTCCTCGTCATCGAATTCATACACTATCTGTTAGACCCATTATCATTTGCTGAGAAGATACATTAATCTGTTAACCTATCAGAGAAACAGCTACCACAGTACATTAACAATTGGTTACAGCCAAAGAGACTTACTTCCCTGTCACCAGTTCTCCAATAAAAAAATTTTTGTTGTTCAATCTTATATTCCTAATATCAGTTACAGACTTGAAATTCAACTTCTATACTTTATTTAAGTTGTGCTCAAACCTGATAAACCTAATAAACAACTTAAAATAAGAGAAGGATACTATGAATAAAAAAAACTGAATATACATTCTCCTAATTTTTTGGGATCTCTTGCACTATGTAAATATGTGCATGTCTAATTTGTAAACAAGATGAACACAAGTACCTGAAGAAAATCTAGATTAGCAGATCCATTAAAGTCCATCCTTAGTTGAGTTCCAAATGGTTAGATGAAAAAATCCAGTGAAACCTTTCAAACGTATAATTTTTTTTTCGGGGGGTGGGGGGAGAAGAGGAAGGGCAGAGTTCTTCAAGATTTCTGTTTGAGGCTATAAACACTGTCTACATCTTAAACATGCAGTTTTTGATTAAACTTGAGTTTTCATTGTCATTAAACTTTTACAGTCTCAAGCTTCTCTTTCAAATTTGCCTGTTTTTGTGTCTGTAGATTTTGTATGAGTGATATATCTTTTTGGAATGTTTGAAAATAAATTGTTATAATGACTATACAAAGTTAACACTATATAATCAATAATTCCTTGTAAAGTAGTTTTTTTGTTGGAGTTTGTTTTGAAGGCACAGAATTTTTTTTCTAATATGAATCAAAGATTTACAAAAAAAGGTATCTATGATTTCTTCTTGATTCATTGAACAAAAATGAATTGAGTGTACTTTTGAAAATATATAAATATTGATATTTTTGGTAAATTTATAAAACAAAGTTTTGTAGATATTATAAGGAGAGAGTAATGCAACTAATTGCTGAAACATTTCAGATTATAAAACATCTCTCCAAGTTTTGTAGATATTATAAGGAGAGAGTAATGCAACTAACTGCTGAAACATTTCAGATTATAAAACATCTCTCCAAGTTTTGTAGATATTATAAGGAGAGAGTAATGCAACTAATTGCTGAAACATTTCAGATTAACATACTAATATCAGATTAACAGATTAATATCTTCTCATACACTTTTAACAGTATATATATATATATATATATTTTTAATATAATTTAATCCCTGTCTCATAGTTACATATGACTTGCAGAAATATCTGAAACTTGCATAAATTTCAGTTTTAATTAGTCCCATTTCCTTATATAGTCATTATTTAATGCAGTGAGATGTAATTAACTTATATTAAGGACTGGAATTATGTTTTTTTGAACAAACTTCTCATGGAAAGAGCAGTTTCGAGACTTTAATTTCTTTATTTGGAAAAATATGAAAGTGTAATAAAATATAGGTGATTTTATATGCTGAATATTGCTTTTTGGTTGAAAAAGAAACAATATTAGCGTATTATAAATAATGGAAAAATAAGAGTTGGTTCCTTAGTCCATATTGACTAGATCCCACTTTATCAGTCAGATAAAACGTTTTATGTAAATCGATAGACCTTTGGTAATTTAGCACATGAAGAAAACATAAGTAGCAGTTCTGATCTTAGACAATAACTCTACTTTGTTATTAATGAGCTGAAATTGAGGCGCTTGTTCAAGCTTGACTCTGACTGATCAGCATAATGAGAAATCAGATTTCTTAAATTTATTTTACTAAAG